CTCTCTCTCTCTCTCTCTCTCTCTCTCTCTCTCTCTCTCTCTGATTTTGTTTTGGAAAGTACACATATTATTTTATATACACAGAAAAATTATAGAATGGCAAACAAGATATCTTTGCAATAGTTTTTCTGACAGAGGGCTCATTTAAAAATTATTTTATATTGCTTGTTTTGTTTTGTTAAAGACATCCATGTATTCCTACTTGGGTTAAACCATGATAACTATATATGATTAAAGCATAGAACAATAAAAATCTTAAAGATGTATACATGATTATCACTTGCTTAGAAATTTCTATGTAGGTACTATTTTAAGCCCTCTGCATATATTATCTTATTCAATCCATGGAGCAACTCTAGGAGGGAGGTGTTATCCTCAAATTGCAGATGAGGTTGATAAAGTTTAAAGAGCAATGATGCCATGAGTCCATCCTCTGGCTCCAAAGCCCTTGTGTTTAATTGTTCTACCTTTTGTATCCCTGTGCTAAACTGACTTTGCTATAATACTCACAAAGAAGAATTCCTGTGTAAAAACTAGATTTCCTGCAGGCAGTTTACTGGTGATATCCAATAAAGACTGAATGATGGCTAAAAATACAAACCACATACACACAAAAAACTTTTCCTTTTGTACCAGATACTTAGATTAGGTGTAGTGGTTTTCTTAAACTGACCATCAAGGTAAACACCACCTCATATATTTCATCAGAGAGCAGTATATAACAGTGGTTTCTCTCCCCAGCAGTGGCAGCCATTGAATCAGGACAATGCCACACTGTTGGGCTTTCCTGTTAGATAGATCACTCTTGTAGTTTTGGAGGATGGAATTAGAAGAGAGGAAATTGGAGGCAGAGGGTCTATTGTCATGCAAATTTGGGGGTGTCCACCTAGCATTCATTTTTCCATCTTTTGCTAGGGGATACTCTATACAATATCACCAGTCATTGTATAGAATGGCAATTAGATCAGGCTTTGGTCTGGACTGCCTTCCTTCACTCAGCTCTGCCACTTGCCATGATTGTAAAGGTAGACAATTTAGTGCCTTTCATGCCTCAAGTATCAATAAGATAGGAATAGTAATTAGTATCAGATTGAATTATTGTGAAGTTTTAAACAGATGATATTTGTGTTATCAATGCTAACATATATTAGCCGTCCTTTTCCTTATTGTTGTCCTCAACCATGTATTTTGAATGGGATTAACCTCACCACTTTTCACATCCCCCCCATTAATCCCTGACTCCTTTGCACAATGGGGCTTAGCACATAGTAGTGGGGATTACAAAATCATTACAGAAACTTCATATGTAAAGAAGAGGCAAGAGTTGGCCAGTTTGACTCTTCCTTAACCTATTTCATTTTTCTTAAATATTATAATATCACCAGATATGCTTTCTGTTTATTTGTTCTCTAAGAGTATGCAGTTTATCTGATTTGTTACCTGCTGTCTTTGGGTGAGTATTAAATATAAGTTCAATAAAGGGGGTGAAGAAAGCATCCCATGAGTGGGGCTCATGAACAATGGAGAAAAATCATGAAGGAAAGATGGCATTCCATGTGGACTGGAGGAAAGTGAACAAGATGTCTTGTCTATAAGAGGGATCATGCATTTAAAGCATTCAGCATCCTATAACCAACACAACAGTCATTCCGAGAAGAAGAGAGTATGAGCTCTTAGAGGGAAGAAGTGCCATCTTCCCTTGAGAAGCATTCAGAGCATCTAGTACCACAGTTGGGATATAGCAGGCATTCAGCACTCACTTAAAGAAAAGAATGTTATTAAATAACTTTGAGGGCCCACATGAATGACTCTGAATACAGATCAAAAGTTTGGACTTATCTTTTCAGCAATGAGAAGCCTTTGGTGTGATCAACAGGAGAAGTAACATAAGCATATGTGAGATACAGAGTAAAATGGAAAACTTGAGCAAGGGTAGGGTAGTTAGGAGTCTGTTTCAATAGACCAAAGGAGATGGGAGCATGAGGGGCTCAGTTAGTCTTCTGGTGGTGGAAATAAAGAGGAAAAAAACAGGCGCAGGAAAAAAAAAATTCAGAGGAGGAAACAATGGGCTGTTGAAACAAATTGGATATTTGGGACAATGACAAGAGAAAAGTCAAAGATGACTGGGATTTTAATCCTGAGCCACTGGTAGGCTAGTGAGACACCTAACCACTCTCCCTATCTCCTTCCCCAGAAAGTTAATTACTCACAGAAAAAGCATTAGCCAGAAGTCAGCATATTTATGTTGGTTCCTTAACCCTGCAAGTCCACAATGGTGATGCAGGTGGCCAAGACAGGTTCTACACACACTGAATTACAGCATGGAAGAGGATCCCAGGGCCACAGAGGAGCCCAGCGAGTGGCAAAATATGGGCACCTTGACCTACTGGATTGCCTATATGACCAGCTACAGAAGCTATTCATTATCAGGAGATGGAGCTGCCTGCAATCTGGCCACTCAGCAAGAATTTTCAGACTATTTTTATCCCACGGTGGATGCCCCTTCCAACACCATTCTTTTAAAGTGCACAAACCTATTCACTTTCCAAGTATAACTGGCCTGAATTTATTCTCCTTTCTTTACTAAAATCTAACCTAATTAATTTTTTCTTTCCATACTCCTTATTCATGAACTCTGATTGTTGGTAACTTTGAGAGCATTGGTCATCTTAATTTCTTACCACGAATGATATGGCAAGTTAATTTCTGTAATAAGTACAGCTGAAATTATTTTTCCATCTTCTAACATAATATTTTGTCATGAATACTTTCCTAGAATCTTCCTTCTGGAATCCCACTTTTCATCTAGTTTGGAGATTCTCTTTTCTAAAATGAAGATTAGCATGTAAGATAGTAAAGTTATATATTTCATCCAAACTGTAAAAATCCATTGAATATTTTACTTCTTAATCCCTCTAGGTAACATAAAAGTATTTTAGACATTTTTATATTGTATTAATTGAAGCGTATCAAAGTTGATTGATTTCTAAAGACTGTGAACTTAACCTACATAAGAGGAGGCAAAAGTAAAGATTACAACTTGGAATTTCGATTCCAGTCCATTAATTCTAGCTTAAGCTATTTCCAGTAAGTGTGTCCTCTGGAGAAAGAAAGGTTATTTGAAGAGTGTCCACTATATTTGTTCCTAGCAAAACTAAAGTTTTAAAATTCCACTTCCTCAGCAAATGGAAGATAGAATTTTTTAGGAGTTCTTCAAAGTATGATTTTTAGGACTTGCTACCAAAGGTTAAATTTTCTCTCTGTGTGTAATAATATATTCACGGATCCTTTAGACATTAATGTAAAGGTGGAGTAGGAGGAGTAGAAAATAAGAGAAGCCACTCACAGCTTTAGGTTTTCTTATGAATTGCCCCTGCTCTGTCTCTAGTTTGTGACATGATGCTAAAAGCATGCCTTCAGCTAGGATCTGGATTCAACAACGTTATGCTGACTTGCAGGTTACAAAGTCTCTAAGGTCATCACATCTGGCACCTGATTTGAAGTCAGGAGCTGATGTTCTTTTCACCTTCTTCCCCCATGAACTTCTTAACTTAGTATTTCTAGGGATATTATACAGTAGTATCTTGCTGACTTAGGCTAGGCAGTGACAAATTTAATGTTACTTCACCTCTGCTAGGGTGAATTCAAGTGCCCAGAAACCCAATAGCGTATTTGAATATTCTGAACTGCAAACCTGTTTGCATTAACAAGAATAGTATGGGAATGGTGAAAAAAAGACAAGCTGTGCAATAAATTATCCGTTTATATTCTAAAGAAGGTTACTTTGAAGGTCATGAAATTTCTTCTGTCTAAGGATGCTTGAAATGGTTTTAAAAGCAGCCTACTTATGGTCAAGGTTAAAAAATGAATAATCTTTTAAACTATCCCTCATATCCAAGACTGTTGTTTACAGATTATATGAAGAAAATATAAAACACAGATCTAGGCCAGGCGCAGTGGCTCATGCCTATAATCCCAGCACTTTGGAAGGCCGAGGCAGGTGGATCACCTGAGTTTAGGCGTTCGAGACCAGCCTGGCCAATATGGTGAAACGCTGTCTCCACTAAAAATACAAAAATTAGCTGGGTATGGTGGCAGGCACCTATAATCCCAGCTAATCAGGAGGCTGAGGCAGGAGAATCATTTGAGCCAAAGAGGCAGAGGTTGCAGTGGACCGAGGTCGCAGCACTGCACTCTAGCCTGGATGACAGCGCAAGACTCTATCTCAAAAAAAAGAAAAAAAAAAAAAAAAAGAAAGAAAGGAAAAAAGAAAAAAGAAAACACAGGTCTAATGCTTTTTTCTGAGGGAAAATTTGCATTTAAGTTCATTTCTCACTGAAGCAAAATAACAATTTACATTTAAATTGTGGTTTTCCTTAGACATACTAAAATGTATAGTTCTTGAAGACACCAGCCTATTGGCATTTTCTACAGCTAATGCTTCCAGTGTCTAAAGTGGTGTCACATCATCTATACCACCTTCATTATACTATTTTTGTCTTGTGTAAGAGTGCCTAATGAGCTATATACTCCTAGTAATATGTTTATTTCTTGTGTTTAAGATCAGGCAAGGTTGGAAGTTATACTAATTCTTTGGGGATGAGTTCATTGGTCAATGGCATCAAATAACTTTTCTGAGAGCTAAATATTAGTCCAGTTATTGGCTTAACTAAAATGCCAAGAGTGTTAAAGTAAACGATTGTTCAGTTCATTCACAAACAGCTGATCTGGTAAGCCTAGTTGATGGTGTTCTAATTAATGCTTTCTAGTAGTCGATCAAAAATTATTGGGCACTGATCAGGTACCTTACACTGATACTCAGTGGGGAATCAAGAGGAAACAACCCACTAAGGCATTAGCTAAATGAAGACATATACTGAGCAACCATAAACTGGAAGCTAATGAAGTATCAACCTGAAACTATGTAATTAAATGACCCAATGCACAGATGAGTTCTGAATCACCCAACCAAGCAGAGATCCAAAGGATCCCAAACTTACCCTGCTTAAATGGAACTGTCTCTGCCTGGAAGAATGGGGAAGATATCAGAAGTTAAGGCTGGCAGTTAAATAACATTGTAGCCGGTATATTCTCAAAGGGAGAAATTCAAGTCATGTTTACATGTGAATCATTTGGGGATTGGGTTGCTCATGCAAAGTTAGATTCGCAGGATCAACATGACACTTAATAAATAAAAATCCCCAGCATGCACCTTTTTAACAAGCTCTTCAGTGAATTCCTCAGTGTGTGGTGTACAGTTCACACATTGAGAAATACCATTTATGGTTTCACATAGATCCCTACGTCTTTCCTGTTTCTACTGGTAAAATCTAACTTAACTGCATTTTTAAGGTTATATAAAGGCTAATTTGGAGGTATAAGAATTCAGAATAATATGATAATTTGAGGAATGTCATTTCTCCTGTTACTTGCTTAAATCAGGAGTTGTAAACTTCTGGTCTGCTAGCCAGATGTGGTTGGTCCATGGATAGTCTTTTTAAGTGGTCCAAACAATATTTTTTAAATTAATTGCCAATGTTAAATATTAGAAGATGATACAAACAAAATCCGAACTCTAGTTTCTCTTTAAAAATGAGATGACCTGGCTGAGGGTGGTGGCTCATGCCTGTAATCCCAGAACTTTGGGAGGCTGAGGCAGGTGGATCACAAGGTCAGGAGTTCGAGACCAGCCTGGCCAACACGGTGAAACCCCATCTCTACTAAAAATACAAAAATTAGCTGGGCATGGTGGCAGGCACCTGTAATCCCAGCTACTTGGGAGGCTGAGGCAGGAGTATTGCTTGAATCTGGGAGGTGGAGGTTGCAGTGAGGTGAGATGGCATCACTGCACTCCAGCCTGGGCAGCAAGAGTGAGACTCTGTCTCAAAAAAAAAAAAAATATCAGATGACTTGAGAGCACTGAGCCTTGATTGCCATCACAAGACTTCAGTCAGCTAGAATTGAAAAGCAGCTGCCCCTTTCAATGACCAGTTTGCCATAGTCCCAGGATTCCAGATCATCTCCCTGACACCATGGCCAAATGTCAGGTGCCATTTGTCACCAGGATGCTTCAGATGCTCTCTTCCACCTGGCCCACTTGACTCATTTGTATCACCTGCCTATATCCTCTAGGCACTTCAGTTTATGACCCCTGTCTTAAGGATACTTCAAAATCAATTGATTTTGAATAGTATTTGATGATGAAGACAGATATTTCACATTCAGACTTATTCTGCTGCATTCCCCTGAGACACACATGCTATGCTCTTGGGCAGAATCTCGGCTAATTTATTTAAAGAATGCTCATTAATCAAAAGAAAGTTCAATCTAACTCAAGTCTTTCTAAGAGACTACACAATTTGCCATGTCTAATTGATGTACATATTTTATTTTCTATTTTCTACAACAAAAGGAAAGATACTGCTTAAGAGACTGTTGTTTTACAGAAAACACAGCTGTTTGCAATCATTTACAAAAATGTAATCATTTTAGAAACTACTCTAAAATATCATTCTTGCGTAGTTCTGATGTGTCAATGTAGGTTCATCAATTGTAACAAATATACCCTCTGATCGGAAGGTTGATAGTGTAGGAGGCTATGTAGGGGGTATATGGGAAATCTCTGTACTTTCTGCTTAATTTTGCTGGGAACCTAAAACTGCTCTTTTAAAAAAAGACTCAAAAAATTTATCTGAAATCAATCCCAGGTGCTTAACAGACCAAGAATATTCAGTGGTCAATATTCCCTATGTTTTATCTACTTCATAAAAAATATAGTTTAAAATATTTCACATTATTTCTCAGTAGAACCTTGAAAACTGAACATGCTAACTTTTTTCCTAGATCAAATATGACGTGGCATTGCAAAATACGCCTTTCCCCTCATTACTTTGACTCCCTTGATTATGTGCACTAAAAACAAGTCTCAAGAAAATCCAAGGTAAAAATCTTGGTAAAATATTAAATTCAGGTTTAAATGTGAAAACTACATATTATGGTATGATTTTTCTGCTGAAATTCAAATCTCCCTTTTAGCTAGAGCAGCTGAAGATCTGTGGGTGAATTCCTGGTAATTTAGGGTTGGGTTTCAAGTCTCTCCCGTTTTGGCACTGTGAACTTGAACTAGCTACTTTGTTTCTGACCTTCTCTTTCCTTATCTGTAAAATGAGATAATAATCCTATGTCATAGACTCATTAAAAGGATACAAGTAGTTTGATGAATGAAGTACATAGCATACACTCAATAAATGATAGCCCTTATTTTAATTAGTGACACTGAATTTTTTTCTGTACTAACCAAGCAGTATTTCCCTAGGACCTAAGAACAGTGCTTTAAAAAGAAAGTCATAAACCCTTGTTTCAACTTTCCTTTTAAGACGCTTTATTCACCCAACAAAAGGAAAGGTAAGTGAATTTCTTTTCCATGACAGCATTGTTTAGGCTAATAGCCAGTTATCACTCCTACCTAAGACTCCATCTTGCTCAGTCTTATATTTTTCAGGTAAATACTCCAAAGAATTCCACAGAGAAGTAACTCTATTTTAAAAATTAACTTTTACTGGCCAGGTGCAGTGACTCATGCCTGTAATCCGAGCACTTTGGGAGGCCAAGGCAGGAGGATCGCTTGAGGCCAGGAGTTCAAGACCAGCTTGGACAACACAGCGAGACCCTATCGTTACAAAATAAAAAATAAAAATTAGCTGGGCATGGTGGCATGCACCTGTACTCCCAGCTACTCAGGTGGGAGTATTGCTTGAGCCCAGAAGTTTGCACCACTGTACTCCCACCTGAGAGACAGAACAAGACCCTGTCTGTAAAAAAATTTTTAAATTAACTTTTACTTTAGAAAGTAGTATCAGAAAAGCTATTAACACAGATCAAAAAGAGGTTGTCAGAAAATTAGCTGGTGTGTCAAAGAATAGTGATGAAGAAATGGGGCCTGTAACTGGCCCAGGAAGGTGAACAAACAGTCAGAGCTTTCCTCTGTTCCTCCTGGCCTCCGGTACCCCCATCCTCTCCTGTGTCTGTCACTCAAGCTCTTCCTTTTTTCCATCCAAAGCAGAAAACTGAATATGAGTGATGGTAAGTTTGATATTACAGCTAACATTTTTTGAGCCCCCTTCTATGTTTCAGTCACTGAGCTATAAGTTTTGTTTGCCTTAATTAATCTTGACAAAAAGCCACAAAGAAAATAACTATTGCTCCATTTCAGAATTTGGTCAGACCACCCAGTCTCTAGGCTAGAGCTGAGACTGAAGCTTGGGTTTATCTGATTTCAAGCTACTTCTAAATGCAATAGTGACTAGTATTTTTTTTTTAAAGCAATGAATTAACTTTTTAAATATTTTTCCTATTAAATGAAAAATAATTAACTTGTTCTTTGCTGGAGTTGTTTTCCACAGATACTGACTTTGTCACATTTTTTATCCCCTGCCCCCATGACTTACTGGCTCTCAATAGGTGGAAGTGTGTTTCAGTTTTGCTCTAATTTTTTAATTTTAATAATTATTTGTTATTCTATAATTTAGGAGTTTTGTTTGTCCAGCACTGTCACTACCTCTTATAGACATCATATCATGTGACATATTTATTAAGTAATTGTGAGTTGTATATACCTACTGATTTCTTCTTGGTTCTATGTCTTCATTCCAAAATATAGCAAAGTTATATATTTTATTCCTTCCATTTTCTACACCATAAAAGTTTTAATCAAATCTATATGAATTTTTTAAATGTGAAAAATTACGGTGATTCTTATTTGCATCTCAGAATTTTACCTTTCCTTTTGCTCAGCAACTCTTATTTGTAATCATATTTTAATATCTTTTTGTCATCTTTGACTTTTTTCTAATATGCTATTCACTTTTTACTCTAGATCTTAGAATCATAAAATAATCTGGAAGAGACAGAAGTAATTTCATGTTAGTATGTCATCTTATAGTTGAGAAAATTAAGTTTCAGGGGGTTTGAATGACTAACTCAAGGCTACATATCTAGTGGAAGAGCTGAAAATCATATTCCGTGAACTTTCCAATTTTCTATGCTTCCTTTCTCATTGTAAGTTAAAAGCATTAGGAGAAAAAAAGAGAAAACTTCTGTTAGGCCCACAAATAGCTTTATAGCTTTATGTAACAATAATTTTTACCACAGCCTGTAAAAATCATACTTCCCCTGACTCTTCTCATTCCACTATGTAACAGCTTGTTTCTCTGGGCTTATATTACAGTTGTTCAAGCAATTAATTTTAAAGCTCTGGGCTATTATTTAGTCAAATGAATTTAATTTTGTTGGGATGCTTGCCCTTTTGTTTACATTAAGAAGGAAACGTTTGAGTCATGTTGGCAGTTCAACTCAAAGAGTGACAATGTTTGTGTCCGTCCAAAATTCATATGTTGAAATTTAATCCCCGATGTGTTGTTTTTAAGAGATGGGGCCTTAGGGAGGTGACTAAGACATGAGGACGGAGCCTTGTGAATGAGATTAGTGCCCTTTTAAAGAGGCCTGAGGGGCTGGGTCTGGTGGCTCGCACCTGTAATCCCGGCACTTTGGGAAGCTGAGGTGGGTGGATCACTTGAGGGCAGGAGTTTGAGATCAGCCTGGTCAGCATGGCAAAATCCCATATGTACTAAAAATACAAAAATTAGCCGGGCGTAGTGGTGTGCACCTGTTATCCCAGCTACTCAGAAGGCTGAGGCAGGAGAATCACTTGAACCTGGGAGGCAGATTTGCAGTGAGCCAAGAAGATTGCACCTCTGCTCTCTAGCCTGGTTGACAGCCAAACTCTGTCTCAAGACAAAAGAGCCCTGAGGGAGCTTGTTTGCCCCTTTTTGCCCTTCTGCCATGTGAAGATGCAGCAAGAAGTCACCATCTATAATGCAGAGATACCAGATACCAAATCTGTTGGACCTTGATCTTGGACTTCTAGGCTTCCAGAACCATGAGCGTTTCTGTTGTTTATAAACAAACCACCTAGTCTAATGCATTTTGTTATAGAAGTCCAAATGGATTAAGACACAGTCAATTTGCATTCTGCTTCTTAAAAATCTGGTTTGTATTCTGCTTAATATTTGGATGTATGGTCTAGAGTAGCTGTCAGCATTTCCTCATAACTGAGTACCATGGCACTTCAATACTGCCAACTTAAAATGGATAAAATAGTGCACTAGACTTACCCTGGGAACTTATGATTAAGATATTTTTCTTAAAAGAAATCCTTGTTTTTTTTTTTTTTTTTTTTTTTTGAGACGGAGTTTCGCTCTTGTTACCCAGGCTGGAGTGCAATGGCACGATCTCGGCTCACCCCAACCTCCGCCTTCTGGGTTCAGGCAATTCTCCTGCCTCGGCCTCCTGAGCAGCTGGGACTACAGGCACGCGCCACCATGCCCAACTAATTTTTTGTATTTTTAGTAGAGACGGGGTTTCACCATGTTGACCAGGATGGTCTTGATCTCTTGACCTCGTGATCCACCCGCCTCGGCCTCCCAAAGTGCTGGGATTACAGGCTTGAGCCACCGCGCCCGGCCAGAAATCCTTGTTTTTATAAGTAAGTGCATACTGAAGCAAAAGGACATCTTGTCTCCAATGTACATAAAATGATTCAGAAAAAAAATGTGAAGAGACAGATGTACCTATCTTAGTCTAATTTATACTGCTATAACACAATACCACATACTGGGTAATTTATTATAAACAGAAATTTGGGTAATTTATAATGAACTGACATTTATTTGATTCATGGTTCTGGAGGCTGGGAAATCCAAGATCAAGAGGCTAAATTTTCTGAGGAACTTCATGCTGGATCATAAATCATGGAAGGCATCACATGGGTGAGACACATCAAGATGGGGCTGAACTTAATTCTATAACAAACCCACTCCCACAATAACCACATTAATTATTCATGAAAGCAGAGGCCCTCGTGACTGAATCACACCCCATTAGGCCACAACTCCCAACACTGTTGCATTGGGGATTAAGGTCCCAACACATACATTTTGGAAACACTTACAAATCATAGTAATACTTATCAGAATTATAATTGATATAATTGATATACCTACATTTTTCCCTGTGTCTATATCTCTCTCTCCATATACACACATTATATACACATAAACTACATAAACATTTTATATGCACTATACACACACGTATATGAGACAGAATATGATAAAGTAAATGTTTACATTTAGGACATTTGAAGAATACACAGGAATTCTCTGTACTATTTTTGCAACTTTGAAGTCTGCATTTATTTCTAAGTAAATTTGAAGAAACAATTGACAGCATTATAACTTGTATGATTGGACATCCACTTAAAGACTAGCATCCTCAAAACTTAAGAAAAATAAATGAAATTGTAAAAAATCTTTTCCACTTATATATATTTAACATTCTCAGATAAGAGGCAGCCTTTACTTAATTAGCTCTCAAGGAACAAATTCCCTGGGAAAGAAAGGTTTGAGTTAAGTCAGGTGTGTTAAATTACAACAGAAAAGGAAGAAATCTAAAGTACGTAAAGTGGAGCTATCTGTGATTGTATGGGATGTCAAAAAATTGCCCCCACTCCTTGCTTCACCCCATGGCTTCTATTTTCCAAGCCCTATGGTAGTAATTTGGCTAGACTCTTAGCAATACTTCTGCAAATTTTCCAACTGTGCCTTTTGTCCAGGCTCCCTTCTCTCAAGATCTTCTGCCTCTGGTTCCCTCCAGCCACCATCCAGGGCTGAAAAGATTGACCTTTAACTGAAATTCATCCTGTCTTGTATACATGGTATGTCTAATTATAGATGTAAAGGCCTTTTTGAAGGGATTTTTAATCATTATTAAGCAGTGGCAGAGATATAGCTGTGTTTATGAGGTTATGGATGTGCATACATGTGCACAAACGGGGTCCTAAAATCACTTTCAGGCTATAGGCACACTGGAACGTAAAGCCAAAATGCCTACGAGTCATCTGCTACTGTTATTATCACAGACTGATTTCCCACATTTTGATGCAAGTTCCTTTTTGAACATTTATTTCCTAGTAGAATATTCACAGCTTCTTCTTTTCTAAAAGTTCATTATCTACATTAGTTTTTCACCAAGCACATGTACAGTATTCATGAAACATTTTGCCAGATGTTAGGAGAAGTGGTTTAGGGAGTCTCCTATGAGGTCTCCAATGGCACACAGAGAATGTGATTTGGCAGCTACAGCAAAATTGTTCATTACATTCAGGGAAGCATCAGAATTTTAGCTGATAAAAAAGCAGAAGTAGTAGTTGCAGATGTAAAATAAAATTAATGTTTATTACAATAAACTACTTATTTAAGATTTATTATTTGAAGGAAATAGGAACTGTCAAACAATATTCCACTATTATCCTGTGACCATAAGAACAATGAGACAGCTGTAAACCAAATTTACTTTTTAGATAATACTCATAATGGGTTAAAATAAGTTTAAGAAAGATTTATCTAAAACACTCAGAAGATGAATACTTCCTAAAATAGAAAAATGTCAAAAATTGGAAAGAAACACATCATTCAAAATAATTCTGAAATAGATAGTAAATGGTTATTTTCGATAGGTTAGATAATTAATAAAACAATGGAAATTTAATGCAAACATGCATGAGTAAAAAACAAAATTAACATTTATATGGACCAATGATGCATCCAATGACACCCAGTGCTAGATATTTAATATTCAGAAATAGAAATAATGTATTAAAAAGAAAGATGGAATCATTAATCCCTTTGCCCACTAGCTACATGAGCTTTGGCAAATTACTTAGACTTTCTGACACTCTGTCTGCTCATTTGTAAAAGGGAAATGAAGCGCCTCGAATGCAGCAGACACTTGGAAATGGTAACTAATATTATTAGCTAAAATAACAGTTATTGGATATCAAGAGTTTATTGTGTGCCAGGCACTTTGATAAAAGCTCCCAATGGATTATCTTATTTAGCTAGTAGGGGTTATACTGCTGGGTAATACTGAGCACTTATAGGATGTCAGATAGAGGAGTGATAAAATTTTAAAATCTATGATAATGAGTTGTAAGAAAATCAAGGAGATTTTTCTAAGAAGATTTCTACTTCTTAGGAAAACATGTAGACACTGCATGAGTAGAGAATGAGGTTTCATTGGTTTAAGGCCCAAAATAGGAAATAAAATTATCTATTTATGGTATGATTGGAAATCAGGGAATGGCTGATCTAAAGGCAGGAGTTTAAGCATTAGAATTGTTTAAGTATTAAAACACTTGCTGTGTAACACACATTACTTTATTGTTATCTCAGCTCTTCTCAGTTCCATTAGATTAATTGAGAGTTGATTAGTGAAAATTGATATGCAATTATAATAATGTCCATAAATATGTCAGGATAATTACACTTGGCAGATCTACTTGCAAATGCATTGCTTCTATTTGTAGTTTTGGTAACAACTGACATGATTCTCACTGGCTGTAGAACAATCATGATAGATTCTTAATTCTACATTCTTCTTTTACACCAATGAAAAACCATTTCTGTATAAAGACTCAAAGAAAAGATCATTACAAGAATTTCTAAGACACTTTAATAGACAGTATTTTTTAAAAATTATTATTATTTCTTAAGACATGGCCCTTAGCATTTTTTCCTTCATTTCAACCCTGGTGAATCTGATGATTATGTGCCTTGGGGAGGAATAACATGGGGAGAAATGTCAGATATAGGTGACAGGGGGATGGAGGCAGCAAGCCACATTGCCATGTATGTACCTATGCAACAATCCTTTATGATCTGCACATGTACCCCAGAACCTAAAGTACAGTTTAAAAATTATCTACTCTATTTAGTCTGGTGTCCAAATTGTAATGCTCACACACCAAGAACATTGCACATGATGGCATACTTATGCCTCTTATTCCTTACTGTTGATCAAAATAATATCCTGCTAAAATACTACATAAAATCTTATACATCACCATAATGATTCCTCAAAATATTGTTCTCACTTTGCCTTTTTTTGTTTTGTTTTTATGTTTGGCCTGCAATGTTCTTCCATTTAATTCAGTAAGTCCAATACCACCCATTTACACATTAAGTATTCAAATGCCAGCTCCATAAAGTATTCTCCCATCTCTACAGCTCTAGCCAATGTCCTCATCCCATAAACTCCCAAGTTAATTTAAAACTTCACTTAAAGCAGATAGTTCTATCTGATTTCATTGATAGTAACATAGATCCCTTTGTTTCTTTACAAAGCTAGAAGCTCTTAGGGCATGAGATCCACATGTGATGGTTATCCTTCATCACAAGAATAATTTCTTGAGCATAGCATGTGGATGGCTAGGGCCTGGGTAGGACTGCCATGGTCAGTCTTTACTAGGCCTTGTACATAAGTGACCATCCATGTACAGACCGGGTTATCTTTAAATAGCTTTGTTAAGGTGGAATTTACATAGCAAAATATTCATGGATTATCTGTGTATAGTTTGTGA